GTGTGATCTCAGCTCACTGCAATTCTGCATCCTCCCAGGTTTCAAGTGATTCTCATGGCCTCAGCCGCCTCCCGAGTAGCTGGGATTACAGGTTGGGCACTACCGACGCCCAGCTCATTTTTGGTATTTTTGGTAGAGATTGGGGTTTCACCATGTGGCTCGCTGGTCTCGAACTCCTGACCTCAGATGATTCGCCTGCCTCGGCCTCCCAAAGTGCTGGCATTACAGGTGTGAGCCACCGTGTCCAGCCTCCTTGAAGAATTATCACAGACAAAATTCCAAGGAACACAAGCTTAGACACAATACAGATGGAAAATGCTTCTGGTATTTTAATGTTATTTATTATGATGACTTAGCATAAATATCTTTCTTTAATATTTTTGAGAAATAGCCTTCTCCTCTCCATTTTCAGAGTTTTTCTGAAAAAATTAGAAATGTTGAACATTTAAAATAAATTTAAAATAAATTATATTTTCTAAAATATTCTCCAGGCTTTTGGTAGGATGACATAAAACATTCCTTTCAATTCCTTTCTAATTATTTTTCTCATTTGATCATAGTTCACCTAATAATAAAAATAGAATAGCTTTGTAAGAGATTTTTCTAGCTTAGTCTTTTCCCAACAAAATGCTGAATTTAAATTGGGAGCTATATTAGAACATCTAAATATTTTCTCTGAATAGTATTTATTACGTGCCGGCACTATTCTAAGCACTTTACACATATTGACTTATTCAGTCCTCAAAATAACCAAATAAGTTGTTACAATTATTACCTCTATCATATAGATGAGGACATGGAAGCACAAAAGAGTTACGCTGTAATCCCAGCACTTTGGGAGGTGGAGGTGGACGGGTCATTTGAGGTCAGGAATTCGAGATCAGTCTGACCAATATGGTGAAACCCTGTCTCTACTAAAAATACAAAAATTAGCCGGGTGTGGGCCTGTAGTCCCAGCTACTTGGGAAACTGAGGCAGGAGAAACGCTTGAACCTGGGAGGCAGAGGTTGCAGTCAGCAGAGATCAATCAAGCCACTGCACTCCAGCCTGGGCGACAGAGTGGGACACTCTGTCTCAAAAAAAAAAAAAAAAAAAAAGAGTTAAGCAAGTTGCCCGAGATCTCACAGCTACTAAGTCTTCAAACCTAGACTGACTGCCCCCAGAGTTGCACTGTGAACCCTTAAGTTACACTGCATCTGAGAAAGTTCTTTCTTAACTACAATCCAGGGATCTCTTTTTTTTTTTTTTTTTTTTTGAGACGGAGTCTTCCTCTGTCGCCCAGGTTGGAGTGCAGTGGTGTGATCTCGGCTCACTACAACCTCCGCCTCCTGGGTTCAAGCAATTCTCCCGCCTCAGCCTCCAGAGTAGCTGGTACTACAGGCACCCGTCATCATGCCCGGATAATTTTTGTATTTTTGTAGAGACGGGGTTTCACCATGTTGGCCAGGCTGGTCTAGAACTCCTGACCTCAGGTGATGCACTCGTCTCGGCCTCCCAAAGTGCTGGGATTACAGGCATGAGCCACCATGCCCAGCCGGATCTCTTATTTCTTTAATAGTACTCTATTCATTTCTGCCCGAGCATACGGCACACTTCATTGACTGACTTGTTTAATGTCTGCCTTGTTCTCTAGACTCTTTCTCTTCGAGAGCAGGAACCATTTTATGCCATTTCACTGCCGTTTACCCAGTGGCTAGCTTACAGTAGATACTCAATAAATAGTTGTTGATTGCATAAAAGGTGAAGGAAAAATGTCTCATTCACGGAGTAATGTCGCCATCTCGTGGAACTTTAGAATATTGTCATTTAAATCACTTAAAATAGGTTTTAAAGAATTGATGGTTCGAATGTTATTTTCCAGATTGTATTCGAGTTTTTTTTTTTTTTTTTTTTTTTTTTTTTTTTTTTTTTTTTAATTGGACTGGACTTTTTGAGATTTTTAGTGCTCTAGAATTGCACAGCCTCTTCAGGTCAGGCTTGGGACCTACTAGGTTTTCTTGGTGAAATGAATTGTGCAACTAGGTAATGAATGTTCACTGTTTTACGTTCAGAACTCGTTCGCTTCTACCTTTATAAAAGGGACAATACAGATGCATTACTAAGCTCTTGGCTCATAACGATCCCTCGGGTATATTCAGAGCCCTTTCCTCGCGGCATTCACAGTGTCTCAGGTGTCTGTCAGCCAGCAATTCCCAATTCCTCGTTACATATTCCTCATAATGCATACTGGCTAAAATGGAAATTGTGTTCAGAAATAGCCCTACCCTACCATCATACACTAGGTGAAAGGGGGAAATTATGCTCCATTAGAAACCCTAGGCTATCTTGCATTAATGCTTCTCAATCTGAAATAATTCTTTTCAAAATACCAATACGTTAAGAAGAGCTACTTCCCTGATCTACCTATTATGGGCAGCCCATTTTATGAAGTTAGCATGGCCTTCCTATTCAAACCGGAAATGGACAAAAAGAGAAGGAAGGTTTTTAGGTCAGTATGGTTATAACTGTAGATTCATATTCTTCCTATTTAATCTACCTCTCATATTAACCAACCACGGAGGCTGGAGGCCGGAAGTCTTAGACACCAGCGAGAGCCGCTCCTTCCCCACGATTCTATGGCTTTCGGGTTAGTTACGCCACGGGGAACTCTATGGTTCCGGGGCGGGCCGGGAGGCTTGAGTTTGAAGACCGGCGGGAAAATGACAGCATCTCTTGCCTGGCCAGGGTTCTCCCGAGAGGGAGGACGCTGGAACTGTGGCTTGCCCTGATCGGCCGAGAAGGATTTGCCATGAATCTTCTGCGTCGGAGTGGGAAACGGCGGCGTTCAGAATCAGGCTCAGATTCGTTCTCGGGAAGTGGCGGTGACAGCAGTGCCAGCCCCCAGCTCCTCTCCGGGTCCGTGCTGAGTCCGCCGCCGGGCCTGGGTCGCTGCCTGAAGGACCGCAGCCGTCAGTCGGCCGCAGCTGCAGGTGCTCCAGGAACCCGGGAGGCCGCAGGCAACGGAGGCAGCTCCGCCGGGCCATGGGTCGGGAGGTGTCCTCACCCCACGGGACTTGCTTCACTGCATACCCCGCTGGGCTTCTACTTCCCTTCTCTGTGACTCGGGCCTGGTGTGGCAGGTCACTTTCTGTTCAGACATACGCGTGTTTTCATTGATCGCCTGGTATTAATATTCACGTGGCTTCTGGGTCTTTCGACCTTTACAGAAACAACTTCCTAGTTAGCCAAATCCCATCACCTGTTCGGGGGCTCCTTCCTCACAGTACCCAGTACTCCTTACAGACCCTTAAGACAGGATTGTTGGGCCTAGAGTATGGCACAGGCTGTTGGGCGTCCAGAGGAAGGCTAGAAGGGATTCGTAATGAGATTGGTTGGGTGTCTTGTGGATGTTGACCCAGTTTTTAAAAATCGTTAGTTGTGCAGTCGTCATGGAACTAAAACTTACTATAAATAGAAACTCACCTAACTTAGCTTTGTAGTGCTTCCATATTGCCCTCTTCCCCCAACTCCACCTGTAGTTCCAACACCCTTTATCTACTGTGTATTACACGCTTTTTTTGTTTGTTTGAGGCTTTTAAGGAATTGTTTTTATTATATGCAGTAAACAACAATTTATTACTTTTCTCATAAGATTCTTGAAGTCAGGATGTGCTTTAAAGAGCTTCATTTCAACATGTAGGAGTTCCAACACACGGTAAAGGGCTAATTGTAAAACTCATACATTAGAAGTAAATTAAATTTTTAATTTTTTCTTTTTCCTAAAAGGAGAATGCAAGCCTACAGTTCCTGACTACCAAATAGACAAGCTACTATTGGCAAACTGGGGACTTCCTAAAGCAGTTCTGGAAAAATACCACAGTTTTGGTGTAAAAAAGATGTTCGAATGGCAGGCAGAGTGCCTTTTGCTTGGACAAGTCCTGGAAGGAAAGAATTTAGTTTATTCAGGTATTGAAATTTATGTAAATTAATTACTATTTTTAAGATATGAATGTAAACAATACTCTATTGAGGTAGTTGTGATTCTTTCAAAAGGTGAATGAGGCAGTGCTTTATAACTAGAGAAAATCTTAAAATCTGTGCGAAAAGTGGAGTTTATTTATATTTAAGTTACAAAAGTTTTATTGTTTGGGGACGGGGGAAGTAAGAAAAATGACAGTTTAAAGAGTGGGCAATTCAGTCTGCCATCATTCTCAACAAACATAATATCCCAGTGAGTGTACAATGGGAGATGTAAATCTGCCCTTCCCCCATTTGATCCTGGTTGCTTTTCAGGGTATGAGTATTATCATTATATGTTTGTTAATTGAGTTTTTGTTTTTTGTTTTTTGTTTTTTTGTTGTTGTTTTTTTGTTTTTTGATGGAGTCTCGCTCCAGGCTGGAGTGCAGTGGCGCTATCTGGGCTCACTGCAACTTCCACCTCCCAGGTTCAAGCGATTCTTCTGCGTCAGCCTCCCAAGTAGCTGGGATTACAGGCATGTGCCACCAGGCCTGGCTACTTTTTTGTATTTTTAGTAGAGATGGGATTTCACCATGTTGGCCAGGCTAGTCTTGAACTTCTGACCTCAAGTGATCTGCCCACCTTAGCCTCCCAAATGCTGGGATTATAAGTGTGAGTCACTGTGCCCAGCTATAAATTGACCTGTTTGTACAGGGTTGTATATACAAATAATATGTAATATACTTTATATACAATTTTTATGGGTTTTCTTTTTTTTTTTTTTGAGATGGAGTCTTGCTCTGTTGCCCAGACTGGAGTGCAATGGCGTGATCTCGGCTCACTGCAACCTCTGCCTCCCGGGTTCAAGTGATTCTCCTGCCTCAGCCTCCTGAGTAGCTGGGATTACAGATGCCTGCCACCATGCCCAGCTAATTTTTGTATTTTTAGTAGAGACGGGGTTTCACCATCTTGGTCAGGCTGGTCTCGAACTCCTGAACTCAGGTGATTCAAAGTCAGCCTCCCAAAGTCCTGGGATTACAGGCATGAGCCACCACACCTGGCCCTATATGGGTTTTCAAGGGCAACTATGACATACACAATTTTTAACCCATGCTTTCTACACTGACTTTAAATCTAATCATTTGGTAAGATGCAATTCCTTTGTGTCAGTTTTCTCCAAAATTTCGAGTCACACAGATTTTTTCATTATGGCTGTAAGGAAGAATTAAATAATTATCAGCAGATATAAGTTCAGGCAGTGGAATTAGACTGGTTGGATTTGAAAGCTATCACTTACTGGCTATGCAGCCTCACAGATTACTTAGGAAGAGTGAGAGAATATATATGTGTTTGTGAGTATGTGTGCGTTGGTAGTACTTAGGGCTGATTAAATTATTTAATATATAAGAACTCAGAGCAGTTTTGGCACATAGAAAGTACTTGTATTGTGAAAGGGCATTACAAAAAATAAAATACAAAATAAAATACTTGTAAATGCTAAGAGGTCACAGTCAGTGGCAGTGGCATAATGGCTTGACCATTTCAATTGCTTGAAACTGAAACTTGGGTATCATTCAGAATTCTGGTCACCAGCTTATGCAATTAATCACCAAGTCCTGGTATCTGTTACCTCTTGCTTCTGACTCCTCCTTTCTATTTTTAGGTCCATTACCTAGTACAGCTCATTATCATCTTTCTTCTAGATTATGCAGTAGCTTTGAAACTAGTTCATTCTTTTCCTCTGATCTTGCCCTGCTCCTGCAGCCAAAGAAGTCTTTTTTTTTTTTTTTTTTTTGATGGAGTTTCGCTCTTGTTGCCCAGGCTGGAGTGCAATGGCACAATATCAGCTCACTGCAACCTCTGCCTCCCGGGTTCAAGCGATTCTCCTGCCTCAGCCTCCCGAGCAGCTAGAATTGCAGGTGCCCGCCACCACACCCAGCCCCAAAGTGGTCTTCTTAAAAAAATTTTGTGTTTAAATTTTTTGTAGAGATGGAGGTGGCACTGTGTTGCCCAGACTGGTCTTGAACTCCTGGGCTCAAGTGATCCTCCCTAAGTTTTGAGATTACAGGCATGATTCACTGTGCCCAGTCCAAAGAGATCTTTATAAAGTACAAATATGATCTTGTCACTCCTTTTCATAAAACTCATCAGTCACACTGCATTGCTTTCAGGACAAGGTTTAAACTCCTTAAATAGTGGGATTATAAACTCTTCTTGTGGCACTTTCATATCTCTTCTTTTATACCCCTGGGGTACTTTATACTCCATGCTTAGTAAATTACCTACTATGTCATCTGAACATGCCAGGATTTCTTGTAGGCCCTTTGTACCATATGCTGTTTCTTAGGCACGGCCTTCCTTTCCTCTTCCTTTCTTTTTTTTTTTGGAACGCAGTCTCGCTGTGTCACTCATGCTGGAGTGCAATGGTGTGACAGCAGCCTCTGCTTCCTGGGTTTAAGTGATTCTCAGGCCTCAGCCTCCTGAGATGCTGGGATTACAGACGCACACCACCTTGCCCATCTCGGCCTCCCGAAGTGTTGGGATTGCAGGTGTCAGCCACCACCCTGGCTATCCCTGTCTTTCTTCCTTACCTTCTCATAAATTCTGTTTTCTTTCCATAAGATTCCTTGCAACTCCTTTCCTTCCACTTCTTTTCTTTTCTTTTTGAGACGAAATCTCTCACTGTCACCCAGGCTGGAGTGCAGTGGGGTGATCTCGGCTCACTGCAACCTCTGCCTCCCAGGATGAAGCGATTCTTGTGCCTCAGTCTCTGGAGTAACTGGGATTACAGGTGCCTGCCACTACGCCTGGCTATTATTATTTTTTATTTTTATAGTAATAGAGACGGGGTTTTACCATGTTGTCTAGGATGGTTTCAAACTCGTGACCTCAAGTGATCCCCCGGCCTCGGCCTCCTAAAGTGCTAGGTTTATAGGTGTGAGCCACTGCGCCCAGCCCTTTTCCTTAACTTCGATCATAGCTCCTATCATAATAAAGTTGTTCATCTACTTCCTCAAAGCAAACCTTTTACCCATTTGGTACTTAAAGGAAAGGATCTTTAGGTATAAACTAGGTACTCAATATATTCATCATATATTGCTGATATAAAGATTTGTTTACACTGTTTTTAGTTGAGGCTATTAAGACAGCTGGTTTAAAGTAAAGGGCATTTCAGTGTGTAAAGATTTTAAGTGCTATTGGGCCCTTAGTGATCCGTTAGCCTTAGGCTCTGTAGTACTACACATGCCTTAAAACATTTATTAATGAATTGTACCAAATATTACTTTTTTCTTATAATATTGTGGAATAATCATGTTTTAGCTCCTACAAGTGCTGGGAAGACTCTTGTGGCAGAATTACTTATTTTGAAGCGGGTTTTGGAAATGCGGAAGAAAGCTTTGTTTATTCTTCCCTTTGTTTCTGTGGCTAAAGAGAAGAAATACTACCTCCAGGTAATGTTTTTTACTAAGTTAGAAATAGTGAAAGGCTCATTATTGGCAGCCTTGGTTTCATTCATTTGAAATAGAATTATGAAAGTAAGTGGAAAACAAAGTTTCTTTATTGCATCCCATGTAGCTTTAAGAGGTGACTGCTGAAAGCATTAAAAATTTGCAGCAGGGAGCCAGGTGCGGTGGTTCACGCCTGTAATCCCAGCACTTTGGGAGACTGAGGTGAGCGGGTCACCTGAGGTCAGGAGATCGAGACCAGCCTGGCCAACATGGTGAAACCCCACCTCTACTAAAAATACAAAAATTAGCTGGGCGTGGTGGCGCACACCTGTAATCCCAGCTACTCGGGAGGCTGAGGTGAGAGAATTACTTGAACCTGGGAGGCAGAAGTTACAGTAAGCCAAGATCGCGCTATTGCACTCCAGCCTGGGCAACAGAGTGAGACTCTGTCTCAAAAAAAAAAAAAAAAAATTTAAAAAAATCACAGAAGGAAATTAAAAAAAAATTATTATTAAGGAGAAGGGGCCATCAAATCAAAAGAATAATTGGTGAGAATTGTGTAAAAATTTGTAAACCTTTTCTTAGGAAATAAACAAAATACTTAAACTAGCATATAAACATGCACGTTAAGAATCAGCATTTAATTGAACAGTTGGACTAGACTGAAGCATAGAAAGGAAAGAGTGTTTAAGGAAGCATATCCTGCTCTAATTGAGGTCTATTTAGGAATATTTAGGGGATGAAGGTCAAGATCCATTGGTGCTTATGTAAAGCTCCAGGTATGTGATCTGTTCCTCTGTTCTGCAAAAATGACTAATAGTAGTTTACATCAATATGATGCTCACAGTTTTTAGGGCATTTTCACAAATACAGTGTTTTATTAAATGGAATAAATTTACTGTTGTGATTTCTGCAGTGAAAAATATGTGCTTTTGGAATGGAATGATCATTATACGGATTGTTAAAGAAATGTGGGTTCTAGTCCCAGTTTTGTGACTAACTATGTCTTTAGGCCAGGCATATAACCTGTTGGACCTCAGTTTTTTTATTTGTAAAATTAGGATGTTAACCCTTAGCACTGTGGGTTAACTCAGTAAACACTCAGGAAAATTTTATTGAATGAATAGCTCTAAATTTCTATGGTTCTATAAATCTTTTTAACAGTTATTTCAGAGGCACAATAGCCAACAAAGCTGATCCTACATGGTAACATCACTCAACTTAGACCCAAAGTAACAAAATGATGAAAGGATCCTTTTTATTGAAAGGTATGTTAGTTAAAAGTTAAACTAAAAAAAAAAAATTATTATAAAAATCCCACTGAATTTGACTTTTAAAAGCTTTTCTTCCAATTACATTAAAAAATTGGTCATTAGGATAATGAGACTATTTTCCTCATAAAGTATAAATTTGTTTCTTAAAGTGTTATAACTAGTTTCTTGCTGTTTATTAGATTAAAAATGTTAGTGCTTGAGGTAGTTTTTCTCCAATTTTAATTCCTATAAATAGCTCTTAGAACTTTTTGGATTATTATGCTGTCATTAAAATTGCATAATTTTATTTGACTCTTAACAGAAATCTAAGTTTTGTCAGTTCTAAACTTTATATTTTTAGTATATGATCTAAAAAGAACCAGTGTGTCCTGGCCAGAAACAACTGATGACAGTAATCTGGTAGATGTCTTTAGATAGTTATGTCTATGTTCTGGGATAGAACCAGTTTATAACTCTTGAATTTCAAGTTTTTTCACCTGTATTGTTCCTTTTTGCTCAATTCAGAGTCTGTTTCAGGAAGTAGGAATAAAAGTAGACGGTTATATGGGCAGCACCTCTCCGTCAAGGCATTTCTCTTCATTGGATATTGCAGTCTGCACAATTGAGAGAGCCAATGGTCTGATCAATCGCCTCATAGAGGAAAATAAGATGGATCTGTTAGGTAAGAAAGTTAGAAAATAAGTAAATACTTTCTGTTGCTATTTTTGATGGAATGAAGTGGAGCTGTTGTGATTTCTGTAGGTCCCATTTATTTTTCTATTGTCTATTGTCTACTTCTGGAGGCGAGAATTGGCATCTGTAATGTTAGGAATGCTGTGTTTACAAGTTTTGTGTCCTGCTGCTGTTATTGATGCCATTATGTTGCATTTTTGTACTTTACAGAATGTAGAGGACATCCTTAAGCCCTTAATAACTTCTCCTTACTTCTTTCTTATCTAAACTTTACCAGAAATAGAAGGAAGGCTGCTGGGCCAGATCTGCCATTTTGCAGTTAGTGTGTATGTGTTTTTGTTACTATATTCTGCTGCTATGATGTCTATTTTGGGCTTGGACCTAGAGTCTACCATTTAGCATGGAAATGGTAGGAAGCTAAAGAAACTGACACTCTATTTGAGCTTGGGATTCTGGGAAGATTTTCTATCTTAATGCATTTTTTTTTGCCATTATGGAAAGGCCTTTATGTAGAGGTAGCAACAGGCATAGAAGGATTTCAGCAGCAGAAGTAGCAAGAATATCAGCTACTTATTGAGAATGTGGTACACTTAAAAATACCATGGTAAAGTTATGGTAGGGTAGGGGTGGAGGGTGGGAATCAGACATGGGCTATGCTCCATAAAGTTTGGAGAGAGAAATTGCAATTGATTTGTATCAGAATTGTCTTATTACTTGTGACCCCATTGGACTTTAAATATTTGAGAGTTGCAATAGACTCCTAGTAAGTGCTATTTCTGATGTACCTGGCACAGTGCCTGGCACATGGTAGGCAGAATACTTTTTTTTTTTTGAATGAATGAATAAGTGCTAAAATAACTCATTAGACAGTACAATTTTGGAGATAGCTTATTGATAGGAAAAAGAACATCATGTGTCATTAGGAAGTTCCCTATTGTCTCCTCAAATTCCTTTTCACCGGAAAGTTGTTTTTTGGTGGGGAGAATTTGGGATGGGGAGAATACCAGTGCATGTGGAAACTATGTTGTTATGAAAATGTTTAACTAAAGAAAGTATTGGTTGATACTGAATTTTCAGTAATTCTTAAGAATTTTTCCAAGTATATACATTGGTTAAATTCTCCAAGTAGTGAAGGACATTGTGATCATATTTATGTTTTGCAGTATGGTGACTCACTAGCCTACCATATTAAAAATCTCTTAAAATTGTCTTTTTCTTTTGGACCCTCTTCTGTTTTTTTCTAAGCTACTTTCCAACATGAGTATATACGTTTTCCCATTGAAAAGTCAATACACTGAAAACTGACATAGATGTCTTTGATATTTCATTGTATGTTTATTTCAGTGAAGTTGCCAATTTAGAAGAGTGATGAGAGGCAGTTTTCCCTGGGTTTGTTTAGCCCTGAGTAAGCTAATAATTGATTTTTAGATCCAGTATACCTTGTAGTACAGCTGCCTGTAATACCTGAAACATCTTGGAAAAGAATTGCCCATTATAAGGAATATGATTTTTGATTTATGGTTTGAAATTTGCATTACTTGCAATGTATTATATCTTATATCAATGTGTGATATAAGATATTGAGTCTTTTAAATTTCTTCTTGTCACAGTCATAAAAAGAGTAAAATCATGTCCTTTGTAGCAAAGCCACATGGATGCAGCTGGAGCCATTATCCTAAGCCAATTAATGCAGGAACAGAAAACCAAGTACCACATGTTCTCACTTGTAAGTGGGAATTAAACTTTGAGTACTCATGGATGTAAAGATGGCAACAACAGAAACTGGGGACTACTAGAAGGGAACAAGGGTTGAAAAACTATTTAATAATAGGGTACTATTGCTAAGTACCTGGGTGATGGGATCATTTGTACTCCAAACCTCAGCATTACGCAATATACCCAGGTAACAAACCTGCACATGTACCCCCTGAATCCAAAATAAAAGTTGATATAAAGGAAATAAAATAGAGTGAAATAAAAGTTGGAAAAAAATTCTTCGTGGATGTGAGATTCTGTAAAAACCTAGTATCTGGAAAATCTTTTTAGGAATGGTGGTTGTGGATGAATTACATATGCTGGGAGACTCTCACCGAGGGTATCTGCTGGAACTTTTGCTGACCAAGATTTGCTATATTACTCGGAAATCAGCATCTTGGTGAGTACGTGAAATAACTGAGTTCCTGAGATTTCAAACAGTGTTGAGAAAGTGTCTGAAAAAGTGCATAAGTATGAGTTAAATAAATTAAGGGAGTGTAATATTTTTCTTATTGAGAAAACTCATGTATAGTAGTTTGTTTTTGTTCCAGAAGAAGTCAGTCCAGGCATAGTGGCTGACACCTGTAATCCCAGCACTTTGGAAGGCTGAGATGGGAGGATCACTTGAGCCTGAGTTCCAGACCAGCCTGGGCAACACAGTGAGACCCCATTTCTATAAATGATAAAAAATTAGCTGGGCATGGTGGCACAAGCCTGTAATCCCAGCTTCTCAGGAGACTGAGGCAGGAGGATTACTTGAGCCCAAGAGTTCCAGGCTGCAATGAGGTATGATTGTGCCTCTTTACTCCAGCCTGGGCTACAGAACAAGACCATATCTCTAACAACAACCTGAAAAGTATTTCAGGTTGAAACTGATTTCAGATTACTTTGTAAACATTCTTAATTTTCTGACTGCTCACCCTTCCAATGTATACATTTTTATTATAGATTTTAAAAAATCTAGTTTCTGTATTTTATTATAGATTTTAAAAAATCTATTTCTGTATTCTGTACTATATATATAAGTAGTCAGGCTAATTTTGAAAAATAATATTTTTTTAGCCCTCACTTCTCAGAGGCTATTTCAACCTTTCAACTCTTGTAGCTTTTAAAAAATATTTACAGCAGCATCTCTACTTGTGGCTACTTAAGTTTTTAAATTTCAGATCTTATATATTGACTTTTACTATGAAAGATGAAGATCTAGCTTTCTTTTAAATTCTTTACTAACCACTACCCAATCTTCTCCCTTCTCTGCAGTCTCTCCTTATCCTCTCATTATCTTCCTCTTCTTCAAATATAGTTATGTTACGATTTTGCTTGGATCATTATTCAGTGTTATGCTATTATGACTATATAAATAACATTGGTAACTGGGCTATAGTGTAATATGATTACTTTTGCTTTTCTAAACAACTTTTTGTCTTCTCTGAAATTAATAACTGTCTTTTTTGTTTGATGGCTTGGTTTTCCAGAAACTTACTGCTAATTTATCCCTAGCCTCCTCCCCAGCTGTGTATTCTACCACATTTGCTATTCTGCCAGTCATCTTCTTGAAGATTTTCCTAAAGCCCTTCAAGTTGTTCCAGTCTAGATAGGTGGTTAATCTATATATATGCTACATAGCAGCTATCTTGGGATTCCCTTCCCCCAACCAGTTTTTTGACCATGTATCTGTCTTGATTTACCTTCTTGTTTTGGTGGGAATATCTTCCAGGAACTTCTACTTTATTTCAGTGAACACATATAGGTATAAATTTTTTGAGAACTTGCATGTCTGAAAATGCCTCATAATTCTTTCTTTCTTTTTTTTTTTTTTTTTTGAGATGGGGTTCTGCTCTTTTGCCCAGGCTGGAGTGAAGTGGTGCGATCTCGGCTTACTGCAACCTTTGCCACCCAGGTTCAAGCACTTCTGCCTCAACCTCCCGAGTACCTGGGATTATAGGCACCTGCCATCAGACCCAGCTAATTTTTGTATTTTTAGTAGAGACAGTGTTTCACCATGTTGGCCAGGCTGGTCTCGATTGCCTGACCTCAGGTGACCTACCCACCTCAGCCTCCCAAAGTGCTAGGTTGATAGGCATGAGTCACCATACCCAGTCTCCATAATTATGGACTGTCCAGGTATAAAAGTCAAGATTGGAAATACTTTTCCTTCAGAGTTGTCAAGGCATTACTTCATTTTCTCATTGCTATTGAGAAATTCAGTGCTGTGCTGGTTTTTCATCCTTTGTATACAATTTTTTAAATTCTGTCTGGGAATTTTTAGGCGCTCCTCTTTTTCCACAGTGCTGTGAAATTTCATACTGATGTGTGTTGGTGTTGGTCTATTTTTAGTCATTGTGCTGGGTATTCAATAGGTTCTTTTCAGTTAAGGGAGAATTGAACACATCTCTCTTGTGATAGAACAAGCAGATAACCATCTCTATCCCAAATCACTAGGGATATAGAAAATATGATTAATATAATCAGCAAATTTGACCTAATGGATATATATTGAACAATTACCTCAAAACAGCAGAATACATGTTCATTTGAGTTACACATGGAATATTTATTAAAAAGTTTCCATATGCTGGACCATAAAGCAAGTCTTAACATATTTTAATGAATTCATATCATTTATTTTCTAACAGCAGTGAAATTAGCTATAAGAAAAGCATAACTAGAAAATGTCTACATTACTGGAAATAAACACAATTTTGACATTTTTTAGATCAAAAAAGTAATCACAACAGAAATTAGAAAATAGTTTGAACTGAAAGTATAATAAAAATATTTACTAACAAAACTTGTGAAGGGCAGCAAAAGTTGTTTTTAAAAGGAAATTGATAGCATAAAACACATATAAGGAAGAGAGACTGAGAATCAATTATTTAATGATCCATCCCAATAACTTAGAAAAAAGGCCAGGCCTGGTGGCTTATGCCTGTAATCCCAGCACTTTGGGAGGCCGAGGCAGGCAGATCACTTGAGGCCAGTTCTAGACGAGCCTGCCCAACATGGCAAAACCCTGTTTCTACTGAAAATACAAAATCTGGCTGGGCGTCTTGATGCACACCTGCAATCCCAGCTACTCAGGTGGCATAAGAATCACTTGAACCCTGGAGGTAGAGGTTGCCATGAGCTGAGATTGCGCCTTTGCACTCCTGCTGACAGAGCTAGACCCTGTCTAGAGAAAAAAAAGTAAAATAATGCAACAGAAAGCTTGATAAAATAATAAAAACAGAGCAAAAAATGGAAGAGGAAAGTCACTATCCAGACATTTAAAAGTTCTACAAATGAATAAGAAAAACACAACCCACTATATCAATGGACAAAAAAACAGGCTTTTGAAACAGGGTATTGGCTGGGCACGGTGGCTCACGCCTGTAATCCCAGCAGTTTGGGAGGCTGAGGCGGGCGGATCACGAGGTCAGGAGATTGAGACCATCCTGGCTAACACGGTGAAAACCCGTCTCTACTAAAAATACAAAAAAATTAGCCAGGTGTGGTGGTGGGTGCCTGTAGTCCCAGCTACTCGGGAAGCTGAGGCAGGAGAATGGCATGAACCCAGGAGGCGGAGCTTGTAGTGAGTGGGTGACAGAGCGAGACTCTGTTTCTAACAACAACCACCACCACCACCACCACCAGGGTATCCACGTGGTTCATACACATGAAGTGATGCTCAGTCTCACTGGTTATCAGGGAACTGTAAATTACTTCTTCAAAGAAATACTGGCCAGGCGCGGTGGCTCATGCCTGTAATCCCAGCACTTTGGGAGCCTGAGGTGGGCGGATCATGAGGTCAGTTCCAGACCAGCCTGGCCAACACAGTGAAACACTGTCTCTACTAAACATACAAAAATTAGCTGGGTGTGGTAGTACGTACCTGTAGTCCCAGCTACTCGGGCGGCTGAGGCAGGAGAATCGCTTGAACCTGGGAGGCAGAGGTTGTAGTGAGCTGAGACAGGTCCATTGTACTCTAGCCTGGGTGACAGAGCAAGACCCTGTCTAAAAAAAAAGAAATACTACCACGTACCCTCTATAACTGCTAACATATTATAAAGATTGACAATACCGAGTGGTGACAAGATTATGGAACAATAGAAAACACAGATTGTGGAGGTGTTACCTTGGAAAACAATGTGGGATTATCTAAATTGAAGATAATCTGTGACTCAATCTGTGGCTCAGTAATTTTATTCTTAGGTATATATCCTAAAGAAATGTATACATGTGTGTACCAAAGGACATAACCATAAATATTGTTAGCAACACTAATTATTAATGCATTATCTTTTAATATTCTTTTCATTTTTTTTTAATAGTCAGGCAGATTTAGCCAGTTCTCTGTCTAATGCTGTGCAGATTGTTGGCATGAGTGCTACCCTTCCTAATTTGGAGCTTGTGGCTTCCTGGTTGAATGCTGAACACTACCATACCGACTTTCGCCCTGTACCACTTTTGGAGTCAGTAAAAGTTGGAAATTCCATATATGACTCTTCAATGAAACTTGTGAGGGAATTTGAACCTATGCTACAAGTGAAGGTAAATAAATATATTTACATCACTACTATTAGTATCTGTGTGTTTGATTTCATTTTCTAGCAAATTAACAATTTCTGAATGATGTAATTGGGAGTTACATGTACATTAGGATTAATATTAAGCTAATTGGTTTCCTCTTAAAGAATTGGTGGTGAGCTGGGGGTGGTGGTTGACGTCTGTAAATCCCAACACGTTGGGAGGCCCAGGCAGGTGGATCACTTGAGGTCAGGAGTTTGAGACCGTCCTGGCCAACATGGTGAAACCCTGTCGCTACTAAAAATACAAAAATTAGCTGGGCGTGGTGGTGGGTGCCTGTAATCCCAGCTGCTTGGGAGGCTGAGGCAGGAGAATTGCTTGAACATGGTAGGTAGAGGCTGCAGTGAGCCGAGATCATGCCACTACACTCCAGCCTGGGCAACAGAGTGAGACTCTGTCCCTGCCAAAAAAAAATATTGGTGGTGATGGTAAGAGAGGAAATGTAGTTGTACCTTTAATTTAAATAATTGTTTCCTAATATATAATATAAACATTAAAAAAAATAACTGATCTTGTGGCTTTTTCTTTTTACTGGGAAAATATTTTCTTATGGTTTAGTTTACACTGTTAGTATGGAAGATTAACTTTTTTGTTAAATGGTAGGTATAATATATAGTAGAGTGAAAAGAATATTATTTTTGTAGTCTGATAGATCTACCTCTGATACTTAATAGAGATACTTGATATGGCTGAGATAGTAGTTGAATCACAAAACCTATCTGAATCTCACATCTTCACCTATTAAATAGGATATTATAATCCTTATCTTGAATATTGTAAGAATTAAATATGATTTAAAAAAATTGTCTGGCATCTAGAAAGTGCGTGATAAATAAGTACCCTCCCATACTCCCAAATACACTTTAATCCTGAGGTTAAAGAACTAACTCATGGCCGGGCGCGGTGGCTCAAGCCTGTAATCCCAGCACTTTGGGAGGCCGAGACGGGCGGATCACGAGGTCAGGAGATCCGCACGACCCCCTGATCCTGGGCTAACACGGTGAAAACCACCGTCCTCTACTAAAAAATACAAAAAACTAGCGGGCGAGGTGGCGGGCGCCTGTCACCAGCTACTCGGAGGACTGAGGCAGGGGAATGGCCGTGAACCCCGGGACGGCGAGCTTGCAGTGAGCTGAGATCCGGCCCACTGCCAACTCCAGCCTGGGGTGCAGAGGCGAGACTCCGTCTCAAAAAAAAAAAAAAAAAAAAAAAAAAGACTAACCTCAATGTACATTGGTGGAGTGAGGCATCTGCTGTTTTTATGCAGAGTTGTCCTTCTGAGTACTAACATAGCTAAGCGTCATTTTAGAATTGGGAATAGGACTAAATTTATGTGTTTCACTAACTATCTAGGTACGCATTTGTAACTTCTGCATGCTTGGTGTGGAATCTTTGCTCTGTGCCCCATATTTCACCTGGCTATGCCTTGGTTACTTCAATACATTTATGTGTGAACACATTCATTTGCTTTCCTGTTAATTTTTTTTCTTCTTTTACCATGTCTGTGCCTCTACCCTTTTGAACCACCTATACTTCTTATCTGGATTATTGAAATATTTCCTAATTGTTCTCTCTGCTTCTGATCTTGTCTCTTTCAGTCTATGCTTACATCAGGAGCTAGTGATCTATTTAAAATGAACATCAGATCATGTTATCCTTCTTCTTGGAAACTTGCAGTGGCTTTGTTTCATTTAGAATAAAAGCCAGTGTCTTCATAGTAGTCTGTAAGGTCCTACATGATCTATACCCCCCGCCCCTCTTAGTGCTCTGGCTCTGCTATGTTCCCTCTCACTTCCTTCACACTAGCCTCTGCTGTTTTTTAATATACCATGAATTTCCCGCCTCAGGTTCTCTTTTTCTAGAATGCTTTCCCCTTAGGGGCATCAGTGTGATCAGTGTGGTTTACTCTTTCACCTTTGGACTTTTACTCAAATGTCACTGTCTTAGACCTTCCCTGGCCAACTTATCTAAATTATAATGTTCTCCCTCAAATGGTCTCTATTTCTTTTCCCTTAGCACTTTTCAAAACCAAACATATTATGTGTTTTTTGTTTTTGTTTTTGTTTTTGAGATGGAGTTTTGCTCTTGTTGCTCAGGCTGGAGTGCAATGGTGTGATCTCAGCTCACCGCAACCTCCGCCTCCCAGGTTCAAGCGATTCTTCTGCCTCAGCCTCCCTACTAGTTGGGATTACAGGCATGCGCCACCACGCCCAGCTAATTTTGTATTTTCAGTAGAGACGGGGCTTCTCCATGTAGGTCAGGCTGGTGTCGAGCTCCCGACCTCAGGCCTCGGCTTCCCAAAGTGCTGGGATTACAGGAGTGAGCCACTGTGCCCGGCCCTTATGTGTTTTACTTACCTCGTTTTTGTTATTATCTATCTCTTCCTACTGGAGTAGAAACGTTATGAGGGTAGAGCTTTTTTTCTGCTTTGTTCGCAGCTCCATCCCCAGTACCTAGAACAATATTTGATATATAGTAAATATTCGTTTAATGAGTGAATAAATAGATGCATTAATCTAGTTTTTAATACATACATTGAGATACTTCCAGTATGGAGAACTTGCAGGGCCACCACAGGGTATTCACATGTGCCCTTTTGTTTGTTTGAAATGTGTTACCTTTCATTGAGATAATGTTTCCCCACCTTCACATCTCAGCTAAATTGCTTTCTCAGGACAATTTTTCTTTCAGATCTTTCTGTCAAATATGAGACCTCAATACTGTGTAACTCTCTTTTAATGGTATATATTATTATTGTATTTCATATTTATTTCGTACAGATGCTCTTAGACTTATGATGGGGTTGTATCCTGATAAACTCATTGTAAGTTGAAAATGCATTTAATACATTTAACCTACTGAATATCATAGCTTAGCCTAGCCTACCTTAAATGTTCTCCAGAACATTTACATTAGCCTGTAGTTGGGCAAAATCATCTAGCACAAAGCCTGTTTTATAATAAAGTCTTTAATATTTTATAATTTAATGAATACTGTGCTGAGAGTGAAAAATAGAAGAGTTGTATGGGCACCCAAAGTATGGTTTCTATTGAATGCATACTGCTTTTGCACCATTGTAAAATAAAAAAAATCATAAAGTCCAACCATTTTAAGTTGGGGACATCTGTATTTTAATGTATCTCTTGGTGAGACTATAAACTCCTTGACTATTAGGATCTTGACTTTCTTTTTACTCAATATTGTATTCCCATTGCCTGAAGGTTGGCGCTCAGTAAATATTAGTTGAATGAATAGTATTTCTTGCACCTTTCATCATTAGAAGTTTATTTTTTCTTCTTTTTTTCCCTTTCTTTTGTTATTGACTTTGTAACTGATTTTTATTATGCCTTCAAGAAGAAAAAGCTTCCCCAGAAAGGAAAATGAGTGCTTTTAAACTGATGTGAGAATCTTTTGAAAGTACCACTAAAGTGGTTATTTATCTTTCTTTTTTAGGGAGATGAGGACCATGTTGTTAGTTTATGTTATGAGACGATTCGTGATAACCATTCAGTATTACTTTTTTGTCCATCAAAGACATGGTGTGAGAAGCTGGCAGATATCATTGCTCGAGAGTTTTATAATCTACATCATCAAACTGAGGGTGAGTTATGGATGGAAAGGAAAGCCTTCATGCTTAGTACATTTGCTTGAAAGTAACAGTAGTGATTATATTAGCAAAAACATGGCTTTTGTTAATCATTGCCACTGCCTGCCCACTAGGTGGTACCCTTTTTACCAAACTGTGCTTTTGTGATTCTAGTCATATTCCTTCCCTAGTATAGACTATGTATATACACACACGCTTAGACTAATCAGCTTTAGATTTTTAGAATACTGGGTATATGCTACAGTTCTTTATCAGGGATCTATGGGCTTTAAGAGTTTGATCTTCGGAGCCCCTAAATTGGATACAAAACTTCACGTGTAGACATTTCTTTGGGGAAAGTAACCATATCTTCTTTATATTTCCAAAGGAAAGTGTAACTCTGAAAAAAATCATACACAGATGCGTATATATGTATAAGTTGACCTTTGAACGACATGGGTTTGAATTGTGTGCGTTCATTTATATGTGGATTTTTGTCAATACATAATATATTAGAAAATGTTTTGGCGATTTGTGTTAATTTGAAGAAACTGACAAGCTGTGTAGCCTAGAAACATGAAAACATTAAAGAACAAAAAGAAAAAGATATGTCATGTAGCCTAAAACATATGTAGATACTAGTCTATTTTATCACATACTACCTTAAAATATACACAAATCGATTATTTATTTATTTATTTATTATTTTTTGAGACAGAGTCTCATACCCGTCGCTTAGGCTGAAATGCAGTGGCATGATCTTGGCTCACTGCAACTCTTGCCTCCCTGGGTCAAGTGATTCTCCCTCTCAGGCCTCCCCGGTAGCTGGGCATTACAGGCACCTGCACGATGCCCTTGCTAATTTTTTGTAAAGACCAGGGTTTGTCACCCATGTTAGCCAGGATGGTCTTGGAACTGCTGATCTCAAGTGATCACCTGGCCTCGGCTCCAAAGTGCTTGGGTTTACAGGCGTAAGCACTGTGGCCGGCCAAATTTTTTATAAATTAAATTTCTGCCAGGACGGGTGGCTCACACCTGTAATCCCAGCACTTTGAGAGGCTGAGGAGGGTGGATCACCTGAGGTCAGGAGTTGCGAGACCAGCTCTTAACATAGTGAAACCCCGTTTCTACTAAAAATCAAACAAATTAGCGTAGTTTGTGGTGACACCTGATCCAGTACTCAGGAGGCTGAGTGGCGAGAATCACTTGGAACCAGAGCAGAAGTTGCAGTGAGCGTGATTTGCGCCATTGCACTCCGCCATGGGGCAACAAGCGGCGGAAATCATCTCAAAAAAAAAAAAAAAAAAATTAAATTTTCCGCCCAGCCCCCTATGGTGAAAACCCATCTTACTAATTAAAAATTAGCTGGGTTGTGTGGTGGGGCACTGTATCTAGTACCCATGGGGAGGTTGAGGCATGGGAGATCCCTTGAACCTGGGAGGTGGAGGGTTGCAGGTAAAGCGAGATTACGCTGCTTTTACTGCTGGCCTGGCTGACAGAAGTGGACCCTTTGCGAATAAATAATACATTAATACATAAATATTATCAAAACTTAGCCGCCTAGAACAGACGCCACTTCACAAAGGTCAAGGAAGAGTGGTAAACCAATGGTAAAGGGCGTGTTAAATCATAACTGATTAAAATTAACCCCGTAATATTATTAGCTACTGTATAATTTTAAGCCAGCCTCCTGTGCTGTGGCAGTAAGCTCATGGTTTTGTGAGTAATCCTTAAAATATGGTGATGTATATCATCTTATATGGGGCAGTTTGTGTCTCTCATATTTTGCATATTGCAGTAAAAGTATTTTCATGTTTCTCATGTACTATTTTTATATTAGTTTGCAGTCTGTAACCTTGGATATACATGGGACAAATCTGATCAGTGCCACTAGGTTGATGCCGGGGAAGTGTTCCCCAGGAAGGCAGGCGAAAGTTGTGGATTCTTTGGGAAAAATGGAATTGGCCTTTGCTATGTACCATAATGGAGGTCTGGGCAGATGCCATTTATATTTTAAGAATAAATGAAATTTGAGTTCAAGTTTACTATTGTAAAAGAAGGAAATTCATGAAGGCTATTGCTGCCGCTTGGCCATTTTGTTGAAATCTTTGTATCTTTATTTTGAAAATGCAGTTTTTAGTGGCTGCAGGGATCATATATGAAAGGGCAACTGGCGGCGGGTGGGTGGGTTACGTCAATAATCCCCAGCAATTTGGAAGGCCAAAGGCAGGAAGGGTCAATGTGTCAGGGCAAGCGCATGGGGCCTACATAGTGGGCCTTATCCTCTACAAAAGTTACACAGTTGGGCCGGCACGTGTTCAGCGGCCTGTAATCAGGCACTCTTTGCGGAGGTGAAGTGCGGATCACCTGAGGGTCAGGGAGTTTGAGGACAGCTGGACAACTAGTTTGAAACCCCATCTCACTAAAAATATCAATTGCCAGGACGTTGGTGTGCTGGCCTATGTAGTCCCAGCCCTTGGATGGGCTGGAGGCAGGAGATTGGCTTGAAACCTGGGGAGGGGAGAGGTTGAGTGGCCGAGTCGCTGCCGTGCATCCAGCTCAGGGCGACGAGGAGCGAGACCCATCTCAAAAAAAAAAATAAAAAAGAAAAAAGTAGCCAGGTGTGGTGGTGTTTGCCTATAGATCCAGCTACTTGGGAGGCTGAGGTGGGAGGATTGTTTGAACCTGGGAGGTAAAGGGTGCAGTCAGCCATGATCATGCCATTGTGCTCAGCTCAGTCTGGGTGGCAGAGTGAGACCCTGTCGCCACAGATGCACACACACACACACACGTGCACACGTGCAGGCACACACACACACACACACAAAAGAAACGCATACCTATAGACTACTATGATTTGGGAAAAAGTGAAATCCATATGGCAACTTAAAGCAAAGGGATCTAAAGCTGGAGAATTTAATGCCAGCAAAAGATGGTTGGATAGTTTTAGAGGTTTATATGTGGATTTTTTTCAATACATAATGGAAAATTTTTTGGTGATTTGTATTAATTTGAAAAAGTGTCAAGATAACAGGAGATGCAAGACCAAGAGGCTGCAGATGAGTTCCAAGATACCATTAAGAAAATTATTGCAGAGAAAGGATATCTGCCTGAACAGATTTTTAATGCAGATGAAAGTGCCCTATTCTGGGGGGGGGAAAATGCCACAAAGAACCCATTTATCAGTAAGGAAGAGAAGAAAGCACCAGGATTTAAAACAGGAAGGGATAGGCTAACTCTTGTTTTGTGCAAATGCAGTTGGGTTTATGATCAGGACTACTCATGTCTATAAAACAGCTAATCCCCAAGCCTTAGAGGGAATAGATAAACACTGGTTGCCAGTCTTTTGGTTGTACAAGAAGGACTGGAGAGTGAGAACCCTTTCTGTGGATTGGTTTCATTGATGCTTTGTCTCTGAAGTCAGGAAATACATTGCCAGTAAAGGACTGCCTTTTAACTTTCTTTTGATATTGAACAATGCCCCGGGCCATCCAGAACCTCTTGAGTTCAACAGTTAAGGCATCAAAGTGATCTACTTACCCCCAAACACAGCATCTCTAATTTAGTCTCTAGATCAAGGGGTCATGAGGACGTTTAAAGCTCATTATGCACGGTACTCTACGGAAAGGACTGTCAACATTATGGAAGAGAACCCCGATAGAACATTGTGAAAGTCTTGAAGGATTATTTCATTGAAGATGCCATTGTTGTTATAGGGAAAGCTGTGAAAGCCAGCATGCCCAAAATGATAAATTCCTGCTGGAGAAAACTGTCCACATATTGCACATGACTTCACATAGGATTTATGACAGAGCCAATGAATGAAATCATGAAAGAGATTGTGAAAATGGCAAAAAAAATGGTGGAGGTAAATGGTTTCAAGATAAGGATCTTGGAGAAATTTAAGAGCTAGTAGACACCATACCAGAGGAATTAACAGAAGATGACTTGAATAAAATGAGTGCTTCCAAACAAGTGCCAGATGATGAGTAAGAAGACAGAAGAAGCAGTGCCAGAAAACAAGTTAACATTAGACAGTTTGGCAGAAGGATTCCAATTATACAAGACTGCTTCTGACTTTTTTTATGGCACGGACCCTCCTATGATATAGGCACTGAAACGACAGCAAATGGCGAAAGGATTGGTACCGTATATAAACATTTTTAGATAATAAAAAAGCAAAAACAGGCAGAAATTACGATGTATTTACGTAAAGTTACACCAGGTGTGCCTGCCTCTACTGCCACCACTTCTGCCCCTGCCACCCCTGAGACAGCAAGACGAACCCCTCCTCTTTCTCCTTCTTCAGCCTACTCAAGGTAAAGATGATGAAGATGAAGACCTTTATGATGACTTATTACTGAATAGTAAATGTATTTTCTCTTTCTTGTTTTCTTTTTTTGTTGTTGTTGTTGTTTTCTGAGACGGGGTCTCCCTCAGTCGCCCAGGCTGGAGTGCAGTGGCGCGATCTCGGCTCACTGCAAGCTTCGCCTCCCGAGTAGCTGGAACTACAGGCGCCCACCGCCACACTCAGATAATTTTTTGTATTTTTAGTAGAGAGGGGTTTCACCGTGTTAGCCAGGATGGTCTCTATCTCCTGACCTTGTGATCCGCCTGCCTCGGCCTCCCAAAGTGCTGGGATTACAGGCGTGAGCCACCGCCTATTAGTAGTTAAGTTTTGGAGAAGTCCAGTTGTGTGCAGATTTTTGACTGGGGGTTTCTTTGTTTCTAACTCCTGTGTTGTTTAACAGTCAACTTGTGTGTGTGTGTGTGTGTGTGTGTGTATTTATACACATATATACACACACACATGTATATACAAATCTATTTTAAAATCAGCTTTGAGGTATTATTTATAAGAAAATGTACCAATTTTGTATATATATGATAAATTTTAACAAATGTATATATCTGTTTAACCATACTATATTCAACACCTAGAACATTTTCATTACCCTAAAATATTCTTTTTTCTTTTGCTTTCTCTTCCCTCTATCCCAGACTTAGGCAACTGTTGATCTCTGCTTGCTATCACTTTAGATTACTTGTGCTTTTCTAAAAATTTCACATAAATGAAGTCATACAGTATGTATGTGTCTTTTGTATCTAGCTTCTTTCACTCAGCCTGGTGTGGTTGATGTTCACCCAGGTTGTTAATTTATCTGTTTGTTTCTTTTTTGTTGCCAAATGGTGATCTAGTATATACCAATGGCTATAATCATTAGTATATATTTTTACTGATTCTAGAGTGAACACTGTTGCCTCACTATTTTTACTAGTCTGTGGTGCTTTGGAGTCCAAGATAAATATAAGGAAGACAGGGACCAGTTCTAGTCACAGAATATTAGATATTTTATTTATTAATTACTTATACCAGTGGCATCATGAAGATAAGTGATGAAAATCTCAAGCCTAGCTCTAACAAGTAAACTTTGCTTGACGTTTATATTGGCTAGGCTGTTGTCTAACAGTGTATTATCTCTTCCAGTTTCCCCTTTATTGGTACTTTCTATACCAGGTTAGCTTATTTCCTTACATTTTACCATGGCCATTTATAATCCTTAATAACCAGAATCATCATCATTTTCTTTTCTCGAGATTTTGTCATCTTGGTTTGCAGCAGTGGTTCCCAAATGCTAGTGCTTGGACTGGAGCCTGGTCTATGATGAGATTTTTATCAGAAAAATAAAGACAAGGCAGCATATTATTTATAAAGCTGCAGTTTACATTCTGAAATTATTCCTAGTCAGTTTTTAATGTTAAATGTCTCCTTTGAAATAAAAATATTGATAGATAAGGTTTTAAAAAATTAATTGCCCTCAGCAAAATAAAACATTGGCAACTTTCTGTGAGTTCTTAAAATTTTAAGATAAGTTTTCCTAAAAATTTAAAAATGTATGAAATATAAGATATATATTTAAATATATATTTTTTATTATTTTCAAGTGACACACAATAATTCTAGAACATACATTTATTTATTTTCTTTTTCTTTTTTTTTTGAGACAGGATCTTGCTCTGTTGTCCAGGATGGAATGCAGTGGCATGATCTCAGCTCACTGTAATCTCTACCTCATGGGCTCAAGTGATCCTCCCACTTTAGCCTCCCAAGTAGCTGGGGCTATAGGTGCATGCCACCATGCCTGGCTAATTTTTTTGTATTTTTTTTTAGAGATAGGATTTTGCCACATTTCTCAGGCTGGTCTCAAATTCCTGGATTCAAGTGGTCTGCCCACTTTGGCCTCCCAAAGTTCTGGGATTACAGGTGTCAGCCACCATGCCCAGGCATATAATTACTTTTTATGAAAAGTTTTGCAAGTTCAAAAATCCAGAAGTCTGGACAATTTTTAAAGACAACATATAAGTACGTAAAGCTTTTACTGCATATAAGAAAGTTAAGGCTGGGTGGTGGCTCATGCCTGTAATCTCAGCACTTTCGGAAGCCAAGGTGGGAGAATTGCTTAAGCCCAGAAGTTTGAGACCAGCCTGGGCAACATAGGGAGACCCTATCTCTACAACTGAAAAAAAAAAAATACTAGCTGGGCATAGTGGCGCATGTGTCTGGTCCTAACTAACCAGGAGACTGAGGTGGGAGGATTGCTTGAGCCCAGGAGGTTGAGGCTGCCGTGAGCAGTGATTGTGCCACTGTACTCCAGCCTGGGTGACAGAGTGAGACCCTGTCTCAAAAAAACATTAAGCTCTTACTGGGGGAGAAGACAAAAAAACAGAGGGTGGTATGTAATTAACTACCAGATTAATGCCAAAGAGACAAGAATAATTTAACAGAGAAGTAGGCTTTTTTTTGTGATAGGATTGGTGAAACCCTCTGATGCTGCTACTGCTGGTTGGTGGTACACACCTTGAGCAAGGGTTTTGATTTTGGGGCTTTGAGTGGTAATCAGTATCTGTAATACTCTACTTCCCCAGCAGGTTCCTTTGATCCCCTCCTGTGGGCCTGGTCTTACCCTTATACAGTTTCCTAAACTTTGGCGCACATTGGAATTGCCTGGGGAGATTTAAAAATTCTTCATGTCCAGGTCACACCCCACACCAGTTATATAACAATGTCCAGGATTAAGAACCAGGCATCAGTATTCTTAAAAGATTTCCAGGGGATTGTAGTATGCAGCAGTTTCAGAACCATTCCTCTGCTATTTAGTTCTATTATGATTTAGACAGATACCACTTAAAGAAGCTGGAGCTAGAAGCAAATGGTGTTGGTAATTTTTTTGTGACAGGATTGGTGAAACCCTCTGAATGCCCACCAGTAAATCTAGAACAAAAAGAACTCCTGGAAGTGATGGATCAGTTAAGACGTTTGCCTTCAGGACTGGACTCTGTATTACAGAAAACTGTACCATGGGGAGTAGCATTTCATCATGCAGGTATTTCATATTTATAATTTGTTATTAAGAAACCTCCAAAATTCCTCATACTGTCTTAACTTTTATATTTGTGTAAATTTACTTCTTGTTAAACACACTTAATATCCTTAGATTTCTTTTTAAGAAATTGTGTGGGCTGGGCGTGGTGGCTCACTCCTGTAATCCCAGCACTTTGGGAGGCCAAAGCAGGTGGATCACCTGAGGTCAGGAGTTCAAGACCAGCCTGGCCAACATGGCGAAACCCCATCTCTACTAAAAATACAAAAATCAGCCGGCGCTGTGGCACGCACTTGTAATTCCAGCTTCTTGGGAGGCTGAGGCCGGCAGAATTGCTTGAACCCAGGAGGTAGAGGTTGCCGTGAGCCGAGATTGTGCCACTGTATTCCAACCTGGGTGACAGAGCGAAATTGTGTGATAGATTAAACAAGAGTAAAACAAGTATGTTTCAATTTACTTATTTGTATACAGTAGTCTCCCCTTGTTCACTGAAGCTATGTTCCACGACCCCCAGTGGATATCTGAAACCATGCATAGTACCAGCCCCACATATATGATGTTTTTTCATAGCATGTTAAAACTTTTAAATGCATTTGAAATGTGTGTGTGTGTGTGAGGGGGTATATATATTTATATGTATGGTATATAGTAGTCTTTCTTTGTGGAGAATATGTTCCAAGATCCTCAGTGGATGCCTGAAACCACAGATAGTACCAAACCCTCTATATACTATGTTCTTTCCTATATAGTGACAGTATATAGTGCAGGTAGTGTATATAGCATGGATACACTGAATAAAGGGATAATTCATGTCCTGGGTGGTAGGGCATGCAATTTAAAACTTATGAGTTGCTTATTTCTGGAATTTTCCTCTTTATATTTTTGACTTTGGGTAACTAAAACTGTGGAAAGCAATAACCACAGATGGGGGAAACTACTATATATACACACACACAAAATTTACATTGTATGTAATTTATGATGCATACTAAAAAAGTGAACACCTGTGTACCCACCACTTAATTTTAAAATTAGAACTCCAGACCTTTAAATTTTTAAATAAAATTGAAAATGAGCCAGATAAGTATATATTCTATATGCTGTTTTTCATTTACTCATGTTTTTATTCATCACGTATTTATGTCAGAAGTATATCTGACCAATGTGATGCATAGGCCCTGAAGATATCTTGATGAATAAGGCATATCGCTATTCACAAGGAGTTCATTATCTAGAACAGTGATTAGCAAGTTATAGTCTGCTGGTCAAGTCTAGCCTACCATCTGTTTTTGTAAATAAAGTTTTATTGGAACACAGTCATGCCCATTTGTTCTGTTGCTGCTTTCATGTCACAGTGGCAGGGTCGAATAGTTACAGCAGAGACCTGCTATTCCACAGGAACAGGAAAAGTTTGTGGACCCCTGGTCTAGAAAATGATTTTTGTTATTGTTGTTTTGTGAGACTGAGTCTTGCTCTATTGCCCAGGCTGGAGTGCAATGATGTGATCTCGGCTCATTGCAAACTCTGCCTCCCAGATTCAGGTGATTCTCCTGCCTCAGCCTCCTGACCAGCTGGGATTACAGGTGCCCACGACCATACACAGCTAATTTTTGTATTTTTAGTAGAGGTGGGGTTTCACCATGTTGGCCAGGCTGGTCTCGAACTCCTGACCTCAAGCGATCCACCTGCTTCAGCCTCCCAAAGTCCTGGAATTACAGGCATGAGCCACTGCACCCGGCCAGATTATACTGTTAAAGAGGTAGACTGTGATGACTCCTTTGTCAGCAGTCATAACAATAGTTTCAAAAATCTTTAGAGGCTTGAAGCAGACTCAAATCCATTTGTAAGTGGTCACGTATAATATTTTCATTATATATCAATAAATATATAAAAACATCCTTTTTTTAGGTCTTACTTTAGAAGAGAGAGATATTATTGAAGGAGCCTTCCGTCAAGGTCTCATTCGGGTCTTGGCGGCAACTTCTACTCTTTCTTCTGGGGTGAATTTACCTGCACATCGTGTGATTATTCGAACCCCTATTTTTGGTGGTCGACCTTTAGATATTCTTACTTATAAGCAGATGGCTGGTCGTGCTGGCAGGAAAGGAGTGGACACAGTAGGTAAGTGAGTTTGAATTTAATTGTAGCAGCATTGCTGAAAGACAGTGTCTACTTGTGCCTACTAGTGCCTGGCAACCTGTTTCTCATCATGCTATATTTCTTTATTATCCAGTGCACTCATGTCATCTTTTTGGATTCACTTAATATTTATAGTGAGTAAGAGTTATAATTTTCATATATATATCATCAACTGTTGATTTTCTACAAATGTTGAATTAAGGTTTTCTTTTGTATTGTATACCATAAAATGATTTAGTATTATGTAAATCAAGATGACTTATTATTACTTAGCTGGAATATGATTTTTAATTTCTAAGTATAGTCTACTCTTCAGCACTAATTAATTTTCACAGACGTTAGTTCAACTTAGGTGACTGGTCTCAGAAGTCAGACAAGGATACTGGGATGTACCTTCACACTTCGGGAATAGGAACTTGACATCCCATCTTTTTTCTTGAAATCGGTGCTGGCTCTGAAAAAACACCTTTTCATTTTCTTACCTTGTACCAGCAAGTTATGATTTTTTTTTTTTTTTTTTTACCAGCAATCCAAACAAAAGTTTTGTCTTAAGCAGTGAGGAAGAGGTTTGTTTGAATTAAATGTCAAAACGGCAGCAAACTTTATTTCTAATGTGCTGTATCGTTATATGTGTAACTAAATCATTATCAGCCATCTAACATTAAAGAACCTTGGGAGGAACATTCCCTGCCACTTTCCACTCTAGGACATAATTGTTATCTTTCTACCCTAGGACATAATTGATTCCAATATTTTATTAGATATGTCAAAAAAAAACACAAAAAAACAAGCAAACAGTTCTGTGGCTACTGAAGAGAAATCAGGAAATCCAGAGAATACAGAAAGTGGATAGGAAATGGATATTCTAGGCAGAGGAACCTGCGTAGTACACTGAGGAAGTAACTTTTAGAATAAACTGACTTGTCACATGAAGTCCCCAAATATGTCAGTTCTCATTATTCATGGATTCCATATTTGAATTTTCCACCTTAACAGAATTTATTCAGAATCCCGAAATAATACCTCTGGGGCTTTTGCGGACGTATGCAGATCTGCGAAAAATTTGAATCTTTCCAAGCACACTTTCCCTGCTGCGGTTGAACAAGCCAAAGCTCTGCGTTCTTGTTTCAGCTCTTATACTGTGAGCAAGCTTCTTTTTAATGGGCTAGTTAGTGCCACAGTTTTCACATTTTTGTGCGCTTAGTCGGTGATTTTGCTGTTTAACATGACCCGCAAGCAAAGTACTGAAATGCTATCTAATGTTCCCTAGTGCATTAAGGCTGTGATGTGCCTTATGGAGAAAATATGTGATCAGTTTTCTGTAGGCATGAATTACAATGCTGTTTGCTGGAGCGCAATGTAAACAACTGTATACATTAAATAAGATATCTTTAAACAGAAACATGCATAAAACAAGGTTTTGTATTGATTAAGTGATGAAAACGTTTTTACTAGAGGCTTGCAGGAACCTAATCATCTATATTCCTTGGCAGCAAGGGTTCAGTATTCTGTGTTCGTGGCAAGTTTATAGAACATGACTACCACAAATACTAAAAATTGACCATAATTTATCGGTAACTGGATTAGTTAGAATATAAATTCACTGCTGTAACAAAAACCAGTACAATAGGTGTTTAACAAGATAGACATTAATTTCTTTCACATATAACAGTAAAATTGTATTCTAGGCCTTATATGACGTAACTGTAATTTAGGCCTTATATGACGGCTATAGTGTGTCGGGGACCTAGTCTTCTATTTTGTTTTAACATTTTCAGCAATATAGTTTCTATCCTTGGTATAAGATGGCTAGTCTCATCTCCCTCATCACATCTGCATTTCAGCCATCAGGAAGGGGAGATAAGGAAGCAAAGAGGCCACTGCTCAGAAGTTGCACATAGTATTTCTCTTCACGTACAGTGGGCCAGAACTTTCACGTGGCTACATTCCCCAACTTTCACATGGTTGCATTTCACATGGTTATATTCCCCAAGAGAGGCTGGGAAATATAATCTTTAGCTTGGGTGGCCATGTGCTCAACTAATACTTAAGAAGACGCGAATGGCTATTGGAACAGCTTTCAGTCTCAGCCCCAATAATAAATGACTCATTTACAATCCCTGAAGGGCATTGGTCTGCCTTTCTTTTAAGCCCTGAAAATTTTGATGATTAAAAAAAAAAAAAAAACTTCCAATTTGTTGGATTTTTCCTACAGCTGACATCAGAGAAGTTTATCCTGTTTCTCTCTTACTTTACCTACAAAATATGCAGATTATATGTATATGCTTAGAAAGAGTTGGGGGAAGAGAGTGAGATTCTTCCTTCCCATTCCTATTTGCCTACCTCTGCCCATCCTCAATTCTCAGTGGACTCAGACCTCTGGGGAATGGAGTATAAGTCCATTTTACACAGATAATCTTCTCTCAGGGACAGAGGGTCTCTTAGTTAATGTAGAAGATAAGGAAAAATAAGAAATAAGATGAGTTCTTATTTGCCTTGTTATGTTCTTAGCTTGTATATATTATGGGAAAGAACAATTAGAAGGTTAGTGCCCTGGGATAATTATCAAGCCTTAAATCAGATAACATTCAAACAGAACTAAAATATACGTAATAAGTTCATTTCTGAGGTCTTAAAGACTTCCAAGCTTTTGACCTTGCATATCATTGTATTTCAGGATGTCATATGACTTGCTCATAACTTCAAGCTAATCAAGAATACAGGAATATAGTGTTTTATATTCACTATGGAGATTTAAATACTTGGTCATGCTTTTTGTATCATGTAGCATCATTGGAAATTCTGTGCATTTTATAAGTGATATTCCTGGATAGCACATGGTGTTTTATTTAAATGACACTTCAGTCTTTCCATAGACAACTTAGAATCTTCCAGCTTAGGAAGATAGTGCTTTGTGCCAAAATAGCAATTTGCAGGTTCAGTAGTCAGTAATAAATTATTTGATTCTAAATAATTTCGACTTCCCTCTTGTGATGTGGATGAGTCCTCCCCAGACAGGTGGTTGCAGGAACCTGTACATATATACTGATGTTCATCTGGACATTTCATAAACCTTGCCCATTCAGAAAAAGCGCAGTTTGTTTTGTTGAAGAATCAAAGCCGCAAAAGACCTTTAAACAGGCCAAAGTGGCTTGTGTATCTTGCTGCTAATGCTAGTTGATTGTTTTCTTTCTTAAGCTGAGCTGTTTTGTAGCCATTGCAAAAGCCAGGTGTTATATTCATGTGATTTTTAAAAATTGGATATTGACAAATTATAACTGTGTATATTTATGAGGCACACAGTGATGCTATCTGTATACAATGCAAAATGATGGAATTAAGCCAATTAACATATCACCCCCAAATACTTATCATTTATTCTTCCTGTCTAACTGAAACGTTGTACTCTTTGACCATCTTCTCATCCCTCCAACTCCCTAATCTCTCTCTCTTCTGCTTGATTTAAGCCTGCTGCTAAAGCTTTCATTGCATTTTTCAGTTCAGTCATTGTATTCTTCATCTCTAAGATTTCTCTTTCTTTTTTATTGTTTCTATTTCTTTGTCAAACTTCTTGTTTTGTTTGTATATTGTTTTCCAAATTTTATTTGACTTTTTATCCATATATCTTTGTAGTTCGTTGGACTTTCTTAGGAGAATTATTCTGAATTCTTTCTCATTTCACAGATCTTCATTTCTTTAGGGTTCATTGTTGGAACTTTGTTAGTTTCTTTTGAAGGTATCTTGGCTTCCTGGTTCTTTGTAATCTGTGTTCTTGTGTTGGTATCTGCACATTTGAGGAGACAGCTATCTCTGGCTTTTATAGGTGTTCTTTGACAGGGATAGAACTTCAGTTGTCTAGCCTTTGATTCTGAATAGGCCAACTGATAGCAGCCCTGAGCAGGCAAAGCTTGCTTTTGGCTTCTCTAGATAGTTGGGCTGCTGCCTTTGCTCTGAGTTTGGGTGGGACTGCTGGCTGGGTTCTGTATCAGGTGAACCCACTAGCTGAGCTCTACAATCAGACAGAGTTGCTCATTTGGCACTGCAGTCACCTCTTGGCTGGGCCCCAGAGTGTATTCCTTGGCCAGGTGGTACCCCTATTTGAGATCTGCACTTGGACAGTGTTGCAGGCTGGGCCCCGAGGTTAGGTGGAGTTGCTATTCTGGACCAGTGGACCAGCTGCTCTGCTCAGTGGAAATGCATGATTGAGCATGGTGGCTCATGCCTGTATCCCAGTGACTTGGGAGGCTGAGATGGGAGGATCGCTTGAGCCCAGGAGTTTGAGGCTTCAGTGAGTTATGATCATGCCACTGCACTCCAGTGTGAGCGACAGAGATCCCCCCTTTAAAAATAAAATAAAATAAGTGCATATCTGAGGTTTGCCTCCCTGCCTAGGTGGGGACTTGGAATGGGCTTTGAGACTGAACTGAGGGCTGTTTAAACTTCCACCCGTATGGCAGAACTAGTCCCTGCACTTTGCAAAAATACACTATGATAGGCATCTTCCACCTGGGGCAGGTCCTTGAGGCTGAGCTGAGCACTGTTTAAAACTCCAGGTTTGGCAGAACTAGCCCCTGCTCCTTTCCAAAATGCACTGTGATGGTCATCTCCCTTCCTGGGCAGGGTCCTCATGAGGTTTGACGCTGGGCCTGGAGGCTGGCCATCTAAAGATTCAAGCCAGGTAGAATTTCCTACCACATCTGGAAGTGATCAGTTTGGCTTTGTGGTGGGCTACACTGTTAGCTGGTACCTCTGATTGGCACCACCACTGGCAGGTACACAGAGCTACCACCAAGATCTGCATGCCAGTTGCCATGAGCTCTGCCTCCTTGCTTTGCTTCTGCCTGACCCCAGGTGATCTAGCTGTGCTGTTACCCAGCATGTTCTCTGTGAGGTGAGACTAGAGTTGGCTTCTTGGGAAGCCTCTTGAAATGCTAGGGAAGCTATATGTTCTCTGGTTCTCTTTTCCCAATGTAGAAGCTATG